GCTACATGAAGCTGTTTGTGGCACTCCAAAAGCTTCATCATTGACAAACATCAATCTCAACTACATCATGATTGGCAATGAATCAAATAGCTGATTGTGATGAGTGGGAAGTTCCGTCAGGAATGGCATGTGTTGCATGCCACACCACGAATCAGCTTTCTTGGCTCAAATCATCCAATCGTTTGACTATAGAGCAAATTAAGCATCGGATAATCCCATTTTAAATCCGCGAGCGCATAGCTATTTTCTCGAATTGTCCACAGTGCATTCGCGCACGATGTGCATGCACACTTGAACCGATTTCTGACAGCTGCGCAGTTCCATCTGCTAGCTCTTTCAGAACTAATCTACTGTGATTGTTGCCAAACCAAATCTCCCACGTACTCTCTCGAGTACCGGATCAGATTGTCTATGATCTGTAGCTACGGTGGATAAAGCCATTCATTGTGTATATGGTAATCGGGTTGCACGTGTGCTTTTACTCCCGGTAGAACCGTAGTTATACTTACATTACAGCAGAAGGCCTAGGATGAAGGCAGACGAGGAAACGCGAAATAAAGACAATGGACACATTACGTGTCCGTGCTTCAACTCAAGATAAGTTACCCACGGTTGTCTAGATCTAAGCTCTTAGGAGGCTTTCTTGAGAATGCGGAACTTGCCTGAATTCCATTTGATTTATTTGCTAAAAAGCAATGGATTTTAAGTCGTTTAATGTATCACTATTCAGTTATACCCGTTTGACCTTTCGATTCAATTAAAACTGACAAGGTCATGAAAAAATTGAAGGACGAATGGTACTAGGACCGGTTTATTCAAAAAAGTTTAGCGTGTGGTCAAGAAGATCGGGCAGACAAACATCAATGTGCTGGAAACACCTCATCAGATCGCATCACTTTTCTAATCAAAGCCTTGAGAGACTCCACTGGACTCAGACCCAACAGCTTAAAACGACTGGCACAACTCATTCTGTTGGTTATGGTTTGCAAACTATCCAATGATGCACTAATTTGATCTGGTTGGCTTCACATTTTGGTGTCTTTTTTTATCCAGGTTACGATTCTGAACAGAATCCGTTTTTAACTTTATGTAATTTTTTCCTGGTGTTAGGCATGAAATCGAAATTTAAAGAACAAGTTTATTTCCTTTTTGGAGTATCAAATTTGGATTGGCCCATTGGATTGTTCAGAGGCACCAGGCACTCTTGATAGTCTTGAAAATTCATTTTACTCTTTGAGAGATCGTTAATTCCCCACAAGGTAGATGAATTCAAAATGCAATGGAAACGTTTGTGATGACCGACAAAGAGCTGTTTCGTCCTGTTTTGGACTCGTTAGCAGTGCGTACGTTTTGTGTCCCTGTCAGGAATCGAACCGCGAACATTTGGATCGGGACTTCGAATCATTACCCCTGAGCTGCACGGTCGACGGTCATCACCGTGTGCTGACGAGTCCCACACAGGCT